CACGCTTGCAGATTGCAGGGACGATAGACGTCCCTGAGGCCGTTGAGTTCGGTTAGGCCGTTGCTCTGCTGTGTGACAGACTGTCAAACCAGGGACCGAGAGGGTGTCTGTCCAGGTCTTGGCTCACAAGCCTGGTGGACACGCCCCTGTAAGTGCTGCCCACACAGATAAGGGTCTCAGGCTGACATCGCAGGGCCTAGGCCTGCCTGATGGTGTCATAACCCATAGCAGAAGTCAGGGGACCTGTCTTGTGTTGCAGAGGACACCCGTTGTGGATGGGAAGGGGGTCAGCTTGGACAGGAGGATTGAAGTTCACAATGACCACGGGGAAACACATGAGCAGATGGAGCAGGGCTCGGGAGATAGGCTAAGGGTGCAGCGAGCTGGAGGGGCTGGTCCACGGTGGCTCCAGCCCTTTCCTCTAGGGTCTTCCCAGGTCCAGCACTGAGCCGGGTAGCAGGTCTCAGTCTGGTACTCTAGGGAGAGCCCAGACATGGCCTTGGAACCGCTGAGCTCTCTCCATATCTACTCCATCAGCCACTGTCCCAGAGCTGACAAAGGATCAAACAACGAGAACTAGGAGGGAAGTGTGGGGCAAGGTGAGGCTGCAGGGTGGCCATTAGGTCTGTGATCACATCGGGATTAGGGCTCTCTGCAGGACAGGTGTTGAGTGGCTGGTTCTCCCCTCTCTCTAGACAGACACGGAGTTGGCTCAGAGGACAGCATGAAGGTTTTGGGTCAGAGGCAGGGGGATTTCACCAGCGAGGGTGAGTGATGTGAAGGAGCTACTAGTGAAAACTCCAAATCTGGAAGCTTTCAGGGGTAGGTAGGTGCTGCCTGTGATGGTGTCCCTCCTGCAGCATGAATTCCAGGACATCTGGAGGGCCACCCAAGAATCAGTTTCAAAGGCTGGGTGGGAATCCCAGCCCAGTCACTGTTGGCCCAAACCTGACTTCCCCACCTGTGCGTTGACTCGAGTTCCAACCCGATGGGATACCTGTGGGGACTGGAGGGAATAATACATGCCGTACATGTGTTTTCAGCTCCAAAGTACTGCACAAAGGCTACCTTGGCACACATGTGTGCACAGCAGATCAGGGGTCCCACGGATCACTGAGTGCTTTGGGGTCTTCTGTTCCTCTCCCGAGCTCACCTCTCTTCCCTGTGCCTTCCCAAGCCAGGGCAGAGCCCCCCCAGTGAGCTAAACTGCACGGAACTGGGGGAGAAGTGAGGGCCTGCCAGCTCTCCTGCCCGGCTACCTTACCAGTCTCCCAATTCTTCTCACCTACACATTGTAAGTGGATGAGAAAGGGAAGCCCATAGAGAGGGGAGGGCAGAATGGACCCAGAAAATTCTTGATGTGAGCCCACCTCTCTCTCCTCCATGGGCAGCACCTAGGGCTCTGATGCAGTCAGAGCTGGGTTTCATCAGAGCCTCCTTGGAGGGTGGCTGGGCCTGGGAATTTGGGGGCTGGGGTGATTTCAGGCCTGGGCAGCCTTCAACATAGCCCCCTGCCACTCCCTTGCCTGGCTCCTCTCTCAGGCCTCTCTGGCTGCTGGCTGTGCTGAGCCTGCAGTCCGGCCCGCTGCTGGAGGGTTAGTTGGCAGTCAGGCAGGGCAAAAGGGCAGCAAGAAGGGGAGAAAGTGGGGAAGTGGCAAATGCTGCAGACATCTCCCAGGGTGCTCGCAGCTGGGGGCCAGGTTCCTGATTTGCTGGCTGAGATAGTGCCGGGGCCCTTGGCCTTTGGCTCCCCTTCTGCCTCTGCCAGGGAGGGCACAGGCCCCCTCCACAGACCTAAACTCCCGGGCACCTCTGACTCAGCTTCTTCTCCGTGCTGCGAACCCCACAGGGGCTGGTCATGGGGCTGAGCCTGGTCAGGGGTCAGCTGCATTTCCCAGCTGGTCCTCACTGGGTGCTTCCTACTTAGAGACGAGAGACCAGTGCTCTGGGAGGTCAAGTGAGGAGTGACATGCCTGAGTTTATCATTGGTGTATGGCTGGGATCCAGTAGTCTGCATGGTGGCTTCCCAGCCGGCCTTTGTCCTCTGAACTCTCTATGTGGGGCTCTGGGAATGGGTTGGGAGGCCCACCCAGGAAGGTTCTCGGGCTGTGCTTTGGAGCTTGGGTTCTGGCCTGTCAAGGGTGGATTGTGGCCAGGGCACAGGCTGGGCTGGGACAGAATTGGCTCCTTAGGAGACTTTGTCCATTTGGGTGGCCACCTCGAGAACTGAAGAGGATGGGAAGCCCTCCCAGAGATCTCTCCAGGGAGGCAGCCCTGCCCCCAGCTGGAGAGGCCTTGCTTTGCATCTACCCTTAGTTTCTTTTGCTGAGATTTGGACGAGGTCTGGTGTCTACCGGCCTGGGAATTTCTGTTTTTTGTCCTCCTTCCTGAGCTGGCCTGGTACTTTCATTTCTTCAATGTGAGTGTGATCACATCGGGGCTTGAGTTCAAACAAGAAAGCCTTGATTCTAGATTAATAGCATTGAGCGAGAACTCTCGTGTGGCACGGAGAAAGCAGGTAAGTGAGGGCAGGTAGCAGAGCACATAATTGAGCTGCTGTGTTGGTGTTCACTGCACCTAGGTTCCACCCTCAGTCCAGGTGTCCGCCTCGCTCCAGGTGCCCGTCATCATCGCCCAGGTGTCCATCTATACGCAGATATCCATTCCCACCCCAGGTATCTGTCATCGCCCCAGGTGTCCATCTATACACAGATATCCATTCCCACTCCAGGCGTTCGTCATCATCACCCAGGTGTCCACCTATACGCAGATATCCATTCCCACCCCAGGTATCTGTCATCGCCCCAGGTGTCCACCTATACGCAGATATCCATTCCCACCCCAGGTATCTGTCATCGCCCCAGGTGTCCATCTATACGCAGATATCCATTCCCACCCCAGGTGTCCGTCATCATCGCCCAGGTGTCCACCTATACGCAGATATCCATTCCCACTCCAGGTGTCCGTCATCATTGCCCAGGTGTCCATCCTCACCCTAGGTGTCCATCCTCACTCCAGGGATCCATCCTCACCCCAGAGGTCCATCCTCACTCTAGGGGTCCATCCTCACTCCTGGGATCCATCCTCACCTCAGGTGTTCACCTTCACCTCAGGTGTCCATCCTCACCCTAGGTGTCCATCCTCACTCCAGGGATCCATCCTCACTTCAGGTGTTCACCTTCACCTCAGGTGTCCATCCTCACTCCAGGTGTCCATCTCCACCTCAGGTGTCCATCCTCACTCCAGGTGTTCATCTCCACCCCAAGTGTCCAATCCTATTCCAGATGGCTTGCTCCCATTCCAGGTGTTCATCCTCACTCTAGGTGTCTATTTCCACTCTGGGTATTCATCTCCACCCCAGGTGTCCAGCCCTACTCTAGGTGTCCATCTCCACCCCAGGTGTCCATTTCCACCCCAGTGTCCATCTCCCCTACAGGTGTCCAATTCTGCTCAGCGTGGTTGTAGCACATCTCTCTGCCCATCTTCCGAGGCCTCCTATGTGGGAGACTAAGGGTGGTGATTCTGGAAGCTTGAGAAAGGCTCTGCATCTATTTTTATTATAAATTCCCTTGGTATTGTGGTGAGAAATGTTGATGACTGTAACCCAGTCACATGTTAAACACTGACTGAGAGTCATAGCCACATTCTAAACTTGATGGTCTGATGTAAGCCTTAGCAGAGCTTTAATATCCCCATTTTACTGATGAGGACATTGGGATACAGAAAAATCCAGTAACTTGACCAGAGTCCAATGGCTGGAGAAAGTGGAGCTGGGGTTCAAACCTGGGTTGAAGCCTCCTCTCTGCCATTTATGCAGCCTCTTACAGCTGTGGCTGACCAGATCCCTCCTTTGTGGAGACACTCAGGGTTTGGCAAGTGTCAAGCTGATATATTGCCTTCAAGCTCTGCTCTTACAAAGGCTAGAAAGCCTTGATCACCTGCTTCACAGCTGATGGAAATAACTCGTCTTTTGCTGATTCACATGGGCAGAGTGATGTAGCAGGGACTAGAGCTGCCAGCTGCACAGGGCAAGGCCCAACTCTAGCTCCGTAATTTTTCAGCCGTGTGACCTTGGGCAAAGTTTGTACTTTCCAGCACTCCAGATTCTTCACCTGTGAAATAGGTGTTATAATAGCTAGCTTCTGGGAAGTTTCGTTAGTTTGCTAGGATTGCCTTAATGAGGTACCACAAGCTCAGCGGCTTAAATCACAGGCTTTTGTCTCACAGTCTGAAGGCCAGAAGTCAGATATTAAGGTAACCACAGGGTGGTGCCTTCTGAGGGCCATGATGAGAAACTGTTTAAGACCTCTTTCCCAGCTCCTGCTGGTTTGCCGACAATTTTTGGTATATTGGGCTAGTGAAGGCATTACCTCCATCTCTGCCCAGGTGATTCTCCTCAGAATGGAGAATCACAAAATGGCTGGTGCAGGGCTGAAATTGGCTGCATCATGGCAGAAGTGTCCTGTGGCCCAAGCACAATTTGCATCGTAGGCCTCCAAGGAGAGGTGAAGAAAGGACCAGCTGAACTCTTTAGCTGACTCCAGGGCAAGGGCCATCACCCCAGTGTGGGCCAGATTGGACTGTTAGGCTGGGGGTCTTTTGTAATACCTTCATTGTAGTCACCCTGAGAATCCAATGGAAGTGAGAAAGCAAACCAATAAGAGTAGCCCTGACAGCTCTGCACTACACCAAGTTTTTTTTTTTTTTTAAGTTTTATTTTTAACTGACAATATATGTTTATGGGATGCAACGTGATATTTTGATATATGTTTAAATTATGGAATAATTAAATCAAGGTAATTAACAAATCTATCACCTCACATACTTATTATTTTCTGTACAGAATGGTGATTATAATAAATAGCAATGCATTGTATATTTCTTTTTAAAGAAGAGTTATATATTTAATTTTATTTGTCATTATTATTATAATTTAAATAATTTTGCTACAGGGCATGTGCATGAGAGAAAGTGAGAAAGCAAGTTGTCAGGTTCAGGACTCAAACTGCACTCAGCCATGTGGGAGTCCAGCATGTCACCTGCTGGCTCCCTACATAGTATATTTCAAAACTGCTAGAGTAGATTTTAAATGCTAGCTCTTGCCTCTGTAGTCAGGCATAGACCTCCAACTTCCTTTTAGTAGCAGGTACCTACACATGCACATGTATACCCATGTAATTATTAGGACATATGGCCGATACTTGAAGTGGTAGCACTGTTGGGTTGAAGTTCAGTTGTTTTTACAGTTGTAAGTGGAGATAGTTAGAAGATGAACAACGTGCTAATAGAATTATGCTCTGCCCTGAGCTCCAGCAGTTAAACAAAGCCCAAGTACCAAGAACTGAGATCAGATTTGAAGAATGATATGGTAGTGTGAGTGTGTGCATATGCATGAGTGAGTGCATGCTTACATGCATGTACACTAAAGTTAGATGGGCAGAGCTAAGGTGTAAGAGTTAATCTAACAGTGCTGCAATCCTAATGAGAAAACCATCACATGTCTCCTCCGTGCCATTTTGCTAGTATCTTTTTGCAAGTCATGTTACTATTTCCATTTCCACAGAAGAATTTAGTCTTTAGAGGAATTGCATACTCTTAAAATCTGTTGGTCTATCTTGTTCTTTGAGTGGATCTTTTATCCAGTCATGATTTTACATTGTCATTTGGAAAATAATGAGTTATGCAGATCTTCCAAATGCTGACACATTTAAGTTTACAACATTCAGAAACCATTTTCATTAATATAACCATCAATCTCACTAGAAAAGTCTTGGTAAGTTCTTGGTCAAGCACATGATGATGGTTACAAGTTTTCCAAAATTCTAAATTTCACTTGAAATATCAGATATTATCAAAGACAGTAAATGCTGTCAGTCATTTTTCTTGAACTAACAGACACACTTTGTTCATCTTTTAGTTGATATCTGCCGAATACCTAAGTTTGAAGAGCTATAGTTTGTCAGTTGTCAAGTAAAAATGGTGTCTCATGGAAAAAGTGGCTAGTTTAGCTTGTAACTCACATAAATATTCTTCCTCCAGACACCTCATTTCAGTGTTCAGCAGAAGGGTTTGTGTAGCATCACACAGAATACACTCACACACATACACACACACATGAATAGAGATGTAATAAAATGAATAATTTTTTGCTGTTTCATCAAGGAGATTCTTCAGTGAAACTGGCATGTGTGGCAGGGAAGAATCTAGTGGCCACTTGTGGAGAAAATGGAGTCAGGATGATTTAGTCTGGCTCCCTCACTTCCGATCTTATTATGTTTTAAGGATAAGCAACTTATATTATTAGTTGTTTTGCACTTGCATGCTTCTAATGTAATTGTGATTTTGCTGTTTTACACCATTGCATGTAATGTGCATGTGTGTGTGACAGTTTGTCTTTGTCAACGAGTCACTATTGTCTATATCCCCTTTAAGAAGAAGGGAGCACCTGGCCAGCTAGTTAGCTAGCTCTGCTCAGTTTGGCCTTAATTCAGCTAGCTCAGCCCTGGTTGCCTTGCTTGTCTTGGCCTTGGCTCAGCTCATCTCAGCTCTGTGCTATGAGATCTGAAAGGCAAGAAACACTCTGAGTATTCTTCATGCACATCACAAGCTCTAAGAGGGAGGAAGCACTCTGAGAGTGCTACTAAAGCTCTGTGAGTTCCCCCTAAACTTAGCCAATAAACAACATGACATCAGTTTCTCTTGTCTTTTTCCAATTCCCTGAATCTCTGTTTGACCCACCCTTTGAATGAGGAAAGAACCTCACAAAATACCCCTAGTGTAGTGTGGTGCTGCTGCCCACCACCTTGATTCATACAGTTTCACCCACTGTTGCTTTGGTATCAAATGAGCAAATATCAACACAGGAAGAAAACCAATAACATTTTCTGTCTGTTATTCTCTCCCTCTGTGTCTCTTTTCCTCTACTTATATATATGTCTGTGTCTCTGACTTCATTTTTAGCCAATTATTTCCAATTCTTTCAGCCTCTATTTTTCTCTGTCTTTCTGTTTTTGTGCCTCTTTGGTATCTCTCATGCTGTATTTCTCATTCTCTCTCTGTATTTCTCTTTTCTTGGCTTTTACCCTCACCTGCCCTCCTTCTCCTTCTTCCCCCTTTCCCATCCTCTCTTCTGCTTGGATCCATGCGGGACCCCATGTGGATGTGCACAGACACTACTCAGCACAGTGGGGGTGCACTGTTGTAGAAGAGTTCTCCTTCTTGAAAATAAAGAACAGTAAAGGAGACTTCCCTTTGGAGAAATCCTTTTGCAGCTTGGCAGGCATGTGAGGTGGGGGAGCGGCATACCTCCTGGCTAGGCTGCCCAGTTCTGCTGTATGTCTTTAAGTGGTAGAAGAGGAAATTCACTTTTGTGTTTCTTCTCATTTTGATGCAGTTTGAATTTTGTGCTTTTGCTGAACAGATTAGCCCAAATGATTTATAATTTTTGTTTTAGATGTGCTTACATGCAAATATTTTCATCTGAACCATCAGAATGATTACAACACCTGTGCCTCTTCTGGTGCCCTTTGAAAGTACCCTTCTACTCCCCCTGCTCCGTCCAATTTTCTTTCCCTTTCACCTCCCCCTCACCCTGATCTACCTCTCTCTAAGATGTAGCTTTGGCTATTTGTTGACTAAAGACAATGATATCTATCAAACTCTCTATACTTGTCAGATATGATCCTGGAGACATTGTGTACATGACTTCATTGAACACTTACCCCCTCAAGGAGAGGGAGATCACATTTTACAGATGAGCAAACTGAGGCTTAAAGAGTGGGCAGTGACCAATCTCTCAGGCCATGTGATAAGGCAGGGCATGGCTGCAGGACCCCGGGCATGGCTGGGGGAGTTGCAAGCCACTGGCAGCAGAGAGCAAGGCCAGAGGGGTTCATGTATGCCAGCATAGGCACACATGTTTGTGCACATGTGTGTGCATATAGGGCAAGGCTGGGGTCAGGTGAGTCACTCTGTGGCTGGAGAGGCTACGGGAGCAGATGTTGGGGCCCGGCACAGAGCATGGGGATGCCACACTGATGATCTAGCCAGCATCCCGCAGGGCTTTGGGGAGATGTGCATCTGCCTCCATAGCAAGATGTGTGGTCAGAATGTGTTTGGAGTACTTACTCGAAGTGTGGTTTGGGTTGTGGGGTAGAGGGGTGAGGGGTGCCAGAGGAAGGATCCCAGTTATGAGGCCATTGGAAGAAAACAGAATAAGCCAATGATGGCAGGTGGCTATTGGGAAGAGGAGGCAGGGCACCCAAGATAGAGGAGGCAGAGTCTTTAGGCCAGCCGTAGACTGGGCATGCGACTGAGGGTGCGGGGCAGGGGAAGTGAAGCAAAGGGCTCAGGCTTCTGGCTAGGATGCTGTGTGTGCACTGAGACCGCTCTCTAAGATGGAGGCATGGAGTTGGGAGGCGGAGGGGTGTGGGGAAGGAGAGGCTGGGGACAAGGGGGTTTGAATTTAGGCCTTTGAGATCCCAACTCTGTTCTGTCCTGAAGCTAAAGGACAGAGGGGACACCCCATCCATGAGGGTATTCAGGCTTAGTCCGATAGCCTCTCAGTGGGATGTTAGAGGCCAGGCCAAGGGCCAACCTATTCGGTCCCATCTAGCTCTCAGATACTGGCCCTGAGGCTCCTGGGAAGGGTAGGCTGAGCAGGCCTGGCCCTGGTTCTACCCTGGGTCCTCAGAGTCCTGTGGATGTGGGGCTGGAGACACCTGAGCAGCTCACTGCTGTCTGTGCCAGGCTGCCAAGCTGCTTCTCAGCGCCTTGTCACCGCCCGCTGCATCTAATTAGCCTGCCCTCCAGCTGACAAGTATCAGCCCCTCTGACTAAGAGACGGTTTCCCCCTAAGTGCTTCCCTCTGGCAAAGCTAAATATTAATTATCTCCCTTTATGTCATGATTATTCCTGGGTGCTAATGTCACCACATCGTGGAGTGAGAAGACAGCTCCGGGAGCTGTGGAAGGGCGGTGAGGCGGAGGGAGCTGCCAACTTCCTGCACGTCTGTATGGGCGTGGCCTGGGAGTTTGGGCCTGTTTGTTACCAGGTGTGCCCTGGGCAGTGGCCCATACAGGGAACTCACAGGGCTGAAGGACAGAGAAGGGTGGGCCATGGGGAAGTGCCTATGCCCCCTCTTGCCAACAGTCACAGTGAGAGCCCCTTGACCGGGGCCAGCGGTGGGGTCACTCACATGCGACTGACTGAGAAGGTGCCCATGTGCTTCCGGTTCTGACACTTGAATAAATATCTACAGGGGCCGGAACATGCCAGGCACTGTGCAGGTGCAGCAGGAGAGAGGACAAAGTCAGAGGCGTGGCCCAAGGTGTGTGCAGCTGAGGTCTGGACGCTTCACCCAGATCAGAGAACTTCTGTGCGTGTGTGTGAGTGTGTGTGAGAGTGTGGATGGGGGGCATTTTGCACATCACTCATGATAGGCAGTAAGAGGAATGATGTCTTCTGGAAAAGGCCCATTTCTCTGTGTGACCTACTTCCTTGGCGCATAGCTGCTCGTTGAACGTCTCCACTGGCAGACATGTGCGGGGTGGCTGTGGCTGCTCCTGTCCCCACCAGGATGGGTGCTGTCACTGCAGAGGGCAACCTTGGAAGGAAGGCTGTGGAGGTGGCCAGAGTCAGTGTGAAGCCTCGAGCTTCCCAACCGGCAGGCAGATGGCACAGCCTGTCACGCTAATCACTGCCAAGTGGTGAAGCAGGGCTGTGATTATAAGGTGAGGTCATCTTAATTAGAGTGACAAAAAATGACGTCTAATTAGACACCATCCCATCTTCTAGAGACTTGTCATAGTTCAACTGTAAGACCTCTTAGCTTCTCGGTGGTGAGCTTTTAAATTCTCAGTCTCGATTGGATTGTCCCCCACCTCCTTCAATTGCCGGTCTCTGAGGGGTACCAGTGTGCTCTGGCCAGTGGGCTGGGCACACTGGCCATGCAGGGAGAGGCCAGAGGTGATGGTGGTGAGAGGAGCCAGGAGGGATTTGGAGGGGCCAGGCTCCCCTCTTTGCTCACATGACTCTCCTTTTCCTGGAAGAAAATGTCATTGAGGATAGAAAACACGCTGGGCTAGGAACCAGGACACTTGGGCATAAACCTGGACGGCCTTCCTAGGACAGTCCCATCTGTGACTGTCCCAGTCTCTGACCCTCAGTGTCTTCCTCTGTCAGGTGGAGCGGGTGGTCTGGTCTGTGAGAGGAGGTCGAAGTGGAAGCAGGAGAGAGCCTCATTGTTCCTCAAGCTGGACTGAGGGGTTTTGCTGCTAAAGCCGAGTAATGGACCTTCCCCGGGTTTGCAGGTACAGTGCCATCAAAACTCTCCATGGTGCATGTCCTTGTGCTCTCCATGGGCCCCAGGTGTCACTGAGTCTGTGGGACAGAGTGCTGCGGACATGAGGGTGCTGCCCAGCTGCTCTGGACTCTAGGGAAGGAGCCCCTCCCGCTGGCCCCATGGTCTCCAGCCCAGGTCGCCCTGCTGGGCTCTTCCACTAGTGGCCTCTGGCCAGCTGGTCACAGCACTTCTGCTGACCCTGCTCTTTCCGCCCCAAGGGTGACAGCAGCCCCTCTGTGTTCCCAAGCTGCCATGTTCAGGCCTTTACTGAGGCTCATGACGGCACAGAAGGAAACAAGCTTAGCCCACGCTCCCTGCCCCAGCCTCCAAGGTGCCCACCTGGATTGGTGCGTCTCTGAGGTGCCCTCTCCCCTCCCCAGGCCCAGGGCCTGCTCCTCCTTCCCCTCCCCACCTTCCGTCCCCCAACCCCGGTCCCCTGACTTTGGAAACAGCACTAACACCTCGCTCTGAAGAAGCTGCACTCGGGCACTTCCCCTTGTAGGGCTTCCCCAGACAACGGGGAGGGCCTGGCCTCCTGAAGTGTGGCTGACCTAGGAGGAAGTCTATTCGGGACCAAGTTCTCTCTCAGAATGTGAAAACTGGGGCACTTACAAGTTGGCCAACCAATGACGAAAACGTTAACGCTTTGTTAGGTCTCTGTATAGAACAGAATGCTCTGTTTTTAAGTTTCTCTTCTGTAATTAAGAAAAATTAATTTAGGAGCCAGCAGGTGGCACAGTGGTTAAGGCACTGGATTCCCACATGGTTGACTGTGGTTCGAGTCCCAGACTTGGTGGCTTGAAAAATCACGCCAGGGGCAATGTACGTGCGTGCCCAAAGTTCTGAAAGAGAATGGAGGAGAAGGGATTGCGGTGTGGCCATGCCCTGAGGGGTGATTTTTCTACCCTCTGTTTCTCCAGTGAGTGCACATGCCCGATGGAAAAACTCTAAAAAAAAAATTAATTCAAAGAAATTGTGGCAAAACGCACAGACCACTTTGCCACCTTCGCGGTTCACAAGGGTGGGTCTCAGGGCCTTATGCTCCTCTCCCATAGTTCAACACTTTGGAACGTGCCCGAACTGCCCGTCGACCTCCGCCTACCAGCTAGGTGTGCTGCATGACTCCCAGTCAGACCTATCCGTGCTCCTGTGTCACCGTGGCCGCTTCCTGAAGGAGCCCATTCCAGCAGCGCGCTTGGATTCTGCCGCCTGGGAGTGGGCACGGTGCCCTCCGCTGGCTCGTGCTGTGACTCCAACAGTGCCTTCAGTTTTCTCGTCCGTAAAGTACAAATGACGAGACTGGAGTCAGATCAGGGTGAGCAGAGGGTGGAGGGCGCCAGCTGGGCCCAGGAAATGGGCCTCTTGCTGTGACTGCCCCGGGGTGGGCAGCCTCGCCAAGCAGGAAGCGGAGAACAGGCCAGATCCTGTTAGATCAGGTTAAAAAAAAATGAAAGTAAGTCCAGCTCGAGGCCCTCTGAGAACACTAGCCCGGCCCGGAGCTGGTCACTGACCTCCTGCGTCGCAGAATCGATACAGACCATCCGCTTCCCTTTGTCCCTTCGCCTTGTAGGAAAGTCCCCACAGGTGTGAGCTGAGACTCACAAAGAAGGCTGGGAGACAGCAGCCCTGGAAAAATAATTCCACCTGTAAACACCTGTGTTAACAAGTGCTGTATTTGTACAGCTATTTTCTTTTTCAAATGCTGTTTACACACACCTATTCTCTTACCCGCTCAGGTGTGCCGCATGGCATCTGGGGCCGGCTGGCCGGGGGCCAACCTGCCACCTGAAATGCCTCCCTGTCTGCCCAGCAGTCGGGGTTTGGGAGCCGGGGTGTCCGATGGCCTGGCTGGAGCTGGGTGCGGCTAGGTCAGCTTGCTGGAGTTGAGCCAAGTCTGATGGGCTGAGGTCTGTGACCTCAGAGTGACAGGAGGGGGAGGGGGGACCCCTTAGGGGACAGTGACCCCCCTCCCCCCCATGAAAGAGGACACCTTCTCCTTTCCTGGCTGGCTCAGGTCATTTTGCATTTTCACACCCAGAGGAAATTCGAACCCCTCCACCACCTGATTATACCTGGCTGACCCATAGAGAAGCCATCCCCAGTGGACCCTGGAGCCAGCGGGCCAGGAGACGCGGCTCAGTGCAGCCTCTTGCAGCCCCCGAGCCCCCCAGTGCTCCTTTGGAGCCGCATCCCTCAGCGTCCAGCTCTCGCTTCTCCTGGTACCGCTCTCCTCTGGGTGGCTTTCTCGGGAGTCTCAATGTTGACTCAGGCACCAGGTCCAGGGATGTCACTCACTTAGTCCCAGACAGGGCCTGAGCGCCAGCGTTTTACTTTATTTTATATTTTATTTCATTTTTAGTTTGCTATAGGGTGAGTGTGCTTTCCGGAGAGAGACAGAGAGAGAAGGAAAGTGAGAAAGCACCCTCCCGGGAGGATGGCCATGCCAGTCCCTCCTCTCCCATCCTCCTTTCAGGATTCTGGCATGTACACACGTGCCCGGTGTGGTTCTCAAGCTGCCAGGCCCGGAACTCTGCGCAGTCGGCCCCGTGGGAGCCAGCTGTCGTAACCTCAACACTACCTGTTGGCCTGGGACCAGGATTTTAAACTCTGGATCAGTCAACTGTGTGGTCAGTTGAGAATAATTCCCCTGGCAGACAGTGGGGCACCTCTGTGTTTCCATACCACAAATCCTCTACGTAGAACTGCTGCTCGTTTGCAGGAGGGTTACCAGGACAGCCCAGGATGGTCTGGGTCCCCCTGACCCAGGGCTCCCGTGGCGAGCAGCCTGCGTCACTGTGGGACGTTTGTTACCACCTAGGAACCAGGCAGGTGGCTGTCAACAACACTCCGTGGTTTATTTGGGCTCCATTAGCTTTCCCCCACGTCCTCCGCCGCCCCAGAGCCCTCCAGGAACCCACGAGCATTTGACTGGCACACGGCTGTGGCTTCCTCTGGTCTGTGGACAGCATGTCCCTTGGCTTGGGTGACTGCGAGGGTCTGGGGGAGTATCAGTCAGGTGTTTTGGGGTGGGATGACATTTCTGTCTCGTGATATCATGGGCTTGTGCTGTCAGCGTGGCTGGTCTTGGTTGGCATTGACCCTGAGCACCTGGCTGAGGTGGTGTTGGTCAGGTCTTGCCCTGCCCGTACCTGCCCATGCTGCAGTCCTTGGAGCCAAGTCACAAAGCTCCGTCCCCCC